AACTCCTCTGGCCAATGATGTTCCCCTTAGCCGATTTCTACTATTCATTCAGCCTGCAAAGGAGTCTGGTGGAGACTACAGGCAACCTAGGTCAGCCTAGTTAGTCTCAGACCATGGAGCTATCATTCTCAAATAATACATGTACATGTAGCTCCATGGTCGGACCAAGGAGGTGCAAAAAGAATTTAAAGACTAGAATAGCTCAGTAACTAGTGCTCAATAGCAGTAATTGTTACAACAGCCTCAAGTGGACAATTGGCTTTCACAAACTGAAAAAAATGTACAATGAGCAGGATTATGGTCTTAATCTTTATCAAATAATGCCAAAAGGCTTGTAAAGATGACAGGAAAGGCAAGTGACCCATTTTACAAGAGTATTACGCAATGCCTTGACAGAATTTTAAAGCTGTCCTAATAATGTCCCTTTCTAGCCTTCAAAAGGCTTCAATAATTATGCATCCATTTTTTCAAACTCAAGCTCTATATATGTTTCAATTCTTGTAACACAACCTAGAAGAAATTTACCTGACTGTTTTATACACTGTAATTCTGACTTATTCATATAACCTGAAGCAAGGTGACAAATTCTGTGTAATTCTCTTCCTTGAACTAAGCATAATTATTATTAAGACATGTATGTAACAAAGCATAATGTAGAATCCTATATAAAGTCCTTGATATATAACAGGTTCTACTGATTTTAGCATAAAGACTTATTGTTGTTGGGAACCCCCATGCAGACCCCCTCTCTAAATAGGGTTTAAGGTGAATTCCACTCTGACATTGTTTGTGACACCTGTTAAGCATCCTTCCACCCACATACTTGTCTTTTAGGCCACGGCAATGAAATTTTATGGATGACATCCATGTAAGATCCGTGTCCATAATATCACCAGGGTCCATAATAATAATATCGCCAATTAAGATAATTTTACTGCAACATACTTTTGGTATGCACTCCTGCACACTTCAAATGTACATACCTAGGGTATTTTGCAGTAAAAATATCTTTAAGCACACTTTTTCTCAAGGTGGCGATATTATGGACCCTGGTGATATTATGGACACAGATGTTACTATGTTTACTAGTAGTATTAGCACATTGGCAGAACATACTGCACCTGCGCATGCACGAAACCCAGATTTTTCATGGTTTTTGCTGAATGTTTAGTCAACGTTGCATCAGAATCGATAAGTTTTCTGACACAACATTTGAAAACTATACATGGTATGTCATCCTTATATATGCAAACAAGACCTTGAACGAGGCATTCAACTAAAGTGCTATAGGAGAGACGTGTGCAAATATCATGAATGCCCATATGTACAATTATCAAGTTTCTCACAGATGCAATACATTCTGTTTCTTCCTATGAATATGATCTTTTTCTTAATTTTAATATGACCTCGTCAATTTTCAAATTCTAGGTATATCTTCTCAGATTCATCCAAATTTTAAGTGCAGGTATGCAGAAACGTATTTAGAGCCCTGTCCAGTTTTTTTTTGGACTGCCTCTTCCTCATACCTACCAAGTGTTGATTCTACTTGATTAGAGAGAGATAAGAAGGAGCCAATTAATGATAAGAGTGGAATGACTGACATGTTAGTTTTCCCTGGGGAATAACGGATAGATTTCTGCTGCACATTTAGCAGATTGATTAGATTGGGTACTCTTCCAAGCAGAGGCTAGGCATGTTTTAAGATGTTTCTTTGGAGGTTTTTAGGCATTTTGTCATGCTTTTCATATATTCTGTTGGCTTCTCTTTGGATTAGGCCAGTAAACATTGAAAACTAGACCTATATTGTGCTTGGAATAGGTATTTCTTGTTCCTCTTTCTGAATCATAACACATTGACATTGCAAATGCTCTGTTATTCAAACAAATCAAGAGGACCTATAGACTTACTAAACCCACAATTTGGATCTAAATTGTAAGCAATTTCTTTAACAAAAAATATGGATCTATACACTTCCTAAGCCTACAATTTGGATGTAGACAATTTCTTAAATTAAAATGTGGGCCTATACACTTCCTATAGAATTTACAACTTGTTATTACAAATAAATAAACAGTAAATGAAAAAATTCATGGCTGCTCAGCCTTCTCAGAAAAATCTAGAGTAGGTGGCTGAAATAAGAAAGTAGCAGGCGAGCCATGAAGGGGTTTGTAATGGAGACTACAATGTTTTCTTAAATTTACACGAAAGTAGGCGGTGTAAAAATTTGAGTAGGCGGTGATTTTCGCCTGTTACCGGCTTGCTTTGAGAGGGCTGCTGCTGTTAATTTTAATTGGCTTGACAAGACACATAATTTTGTGCCTGTACCAACAAACCTACAGTTAAATTGAGAAAGCCCCACATTGTGAGGTTCCCCTGTCAGTGTGTTTAACAGACCATGAGATCAGATTACCCAAATACCACAGGTAGACCCCTCCGAACAAACACTGTCTTTTCAACGACTATTTACCTCAACACACATATCTAAAGAGCCCGGCACGATTTCTACTTTTGTAAACTAGTCCGGAGGTTCAGAACGAACATTGGCGCCGTTTGCCAGGCTGTTAAGATGAGAAACAAGCGAGCATATTGTCCGTTACTCCGCAAAAGTCCTTGAGACTTTGCAGGCACGACCGTTAAAAGCCTAACAATAGCTGCGGTGTAGAATATCAAAACATACCCAAGCAGAACCTACCACTCAAACCACTGAACAGAAAACATACCACTACATTCTAATAGTTGCCTTCCTTCCTAAGCTTATACAAAAGCATTGGCAGCAAGAAAATGTATGCCGTGTCCATTTAAAACTACGTTATTGGGCCCTAACTGCCACAAATTACACTCAAAACAAAGAGAAGCCTAGGTAACCCCTAAGCAGAGGACAATCACTGCAGACAATAACACTCTTGAATAAACAATTCAATATTTAAAACCCGCTTTGTGATAAGAAAGTCGTTTGTTGAACACTTGGTGACTGACCTAGCTTTAACTGACCTCAAGAAATTAGAAATTTCAACTCTTAAGGTATAAAATCACACTGTATAAGAACAGAAAGCTTCTTTTTCAAGTGCACTTATTCGGTTACTCCTCAATAGCTACCTGTACTTGATATATAACGGTTAGAAAAAGTATTGTCCGAGGACTTAAAGTCCTAGCGGCCATGTTTGCTCATACTTCTGCATGGGTTTTGTCTCCGAGAGCTGGCAAACTTTCCGTGCCGGCGATAACTATCGGAACAAAGGTCATCCTCAAACAAACCTGGCGTTTAACTTGGTAATGATCGTTTCACTGCCGCATAAAATACGTCATCTATTTGGCAACTACCACCCGGCCATTCTTCTGCAGTCTTGTACGAAACTGCGTCGAAAGCACGCGGAAACGGGCAAAAAATCGGACTATTCCTGATACGACAGTTGTCTATGCAAGCACACATGCGGGTAGTGTACGGATGTGATAGCTCAGTCATAACAGAAGCACATGTGTTGACGTTAGGTGAAATGCCAAGCAGCCACTTTACCTCCAGGCCTGGTCCCTGCGACACTGCCGCCCTGTCCTGCATAGTTCTGGGGCATCCAGGGCCGCCTTGGCGATACAGACATTCCTGAAGCCAACCCTCGATTCAGCGTGAAATGTCAATTTTCAGCTCTGACAGCGGGCGGCTTGCTAACATGCCTTGCCGGCCAGAGTTTAAAACCAACTTGTTGTAAACTAGCAACAGTCTTTAGGTGTCTGCTCCAGACTAGATCCTCTGGCTCTGCCAAGAACAAGTCCCAAAACACAGCGTAGTAGTACACTCCATTCCAGAGAGTCTTTGGAAGAATAGAGTACAACTAACCCCAGCCACCTTGTGATCGGTCAGTTCTGCCAGCTATAATACGGGAAGGGGGCATGAGGTTAGCCAAACATGCAAGCCCATTCTCAATCAATAAGTGCGCTAACGGTCCAGGGGAGGCCCATTGTTGTACCGGTGAGGTAAGCTCCGCCCCTCCTGTCAATCAAAAGGAAGGGAGAGTCTATTCTAGAGCAGGGGTGTACAATTTATTTCTTACAGGTGCTGTGAGGTATTTTAAACTCCTTGTTCAGGTGAAAATGCAAACCACTAGACAGATGTACAAAATGCTACAACACATGAAATGTTGAGCTGGACCTAACATCGAGATGATTTAAATTTTTTGAAAATCAAGTGAGATAAGTAAGAACCAAGAGAGTAAAAGTGATCTTGAACCATTTAGTTCACATGTTAATTGACTGTAACTGAAATTCTCCTCTAGAGCTCTTTTTGACAAGTCCAGTGGAGCACGTTCGTTAACATAATGTCCTAAGAACTACAAGTCTACATCCCTTTCCAGTGTATATGGATGAGCAACTTACAGCAGTCGGGATTCAAGCTCATGACCTCTTGGTCCAGGGGCAAGGTCACTAGCCACTGGACCACGCTCGCAACTGAGACTACACACCACTATTAAAGAAATTAAATTGGTTCCGTGACAAAACCAGTAACACAGGGACACTGGTCTAATTAAAGCCCTGCATGTGAACTAGAATGTGGCCTTGTCGATAAAAAGCCGACCACATTCCCAGACACTTTGAGAGTGGGTGAAACCAGATATGCACGACCCATATATATATATGTATATATAACAGTGGTAGGTTCAAGTTTCCAACCTAAATTCTGATATAAAATTGTACCAGCTGTACGTGTGTTGTTGTAATGGGCATTGAACTAAAAAATTAAATTCACTATCCCCATACTGACAATTAGGCTTTTCTGTACCAAAGACTGAGGCTCTGCATGGCTTTTACTGTGAGGTGTAACAAGCCATTTTAATTCACCATGTAGCAGGTTGCTTTAATTCAGCATTCAGCATTGTCTGGAAACTCTTCATGAATTGTAATTACTCACTTTAAAGTTTAATTAGAACGTTACTTCTTATCCTGAACATCTTTTATTGAAAAATTCTTCATATAACAACAGCCCAAAAATTCAGCAAAGGGAAGACAAGAAAAACAGAGGGTTGGGAAGAAAACTTGTATCTGACTACTGGTATGTTCACTACCTGAAATTGCGTGTGCAAACTTTCCGCCATCAAGTTGATTTGCCCCTTCATAAGTGTTCGTTTCTGTAACCCGAGAATGGACAAATTGAACTTGACTGAGTTTGTACCCCCCTCACCTTTGTTCATGACTGGAGTAGATTTTCTGTATAATAGAAAAGTGAGAAATAGGATGTAGAGAAGAGGAGTCTGAAGTAGCAGTGAATTGTTCTGCTGTAGGGCAGAGGCATTGAAAAAGTGTGAAGTGGCCATGTCAAGATGTCTGGCATAGCAGGTGCAAAATGTTCAGATAGACAGAATAATAGAAAACTGGGAAATATCACGGTTTGATTGATTGACTTGAAATTGAAACCTTTTTTTTTTCAATAAAAAGCACTTGAGAAAGATCAAGTTCATTGTTGAGGCCAAACCATCTTTTTGGTCACACTAATTTGATTTGTTGGTTCTTGGATCTTTTCAGAAAATATATGAAGTGACAGGGGAAAAATAAATAAAAACAGACCTTATGACAGCCCCAAATGCTATAGGATTGGATAGATGGCTGGATAGGAGCCATGAAGTCAACATACCAGTCTGGTTTATAATTTAAGTCAAACTTTTGATCAAACCACTGCATTGATAGATGGAAAAACTGTAACAACTCTGAAGAGAATGGATTTCTTTCAACTGTTGAGGCCAAAATATGAGCATTTTCGGAGTTGATTCAGAGGTTGAAATTTTTTTTTTCATTCGGAAAAAATTAAGCGAGTAAATCTGTGAATCATCAAATTGAATTGTTGTGGCCTTAAGAAGAAATTAAAATTTCTTGGTTCTTAGGGAGGCAAAAAGATTTTTAAAAAGAGAGTGGAAAAGTACAAACTTAGAGGGGCCTGTTTGCAACAAAAATGGGGTGGAGGCCGAGCTCAGAACAACGTTACGAGATTCCAAACATCTGCTTGGAGACTATAGTCAGCATCATGGCAAGTGGGGGAACAGTACAGCAGTGCCCTCATGCGAATTACATTTAGAATTGCAGAAAATGACTCTTACCATATCATAATATCAGGCATGACAGTATACACTTTGAAACAATATGTACGTCCGATATTCTAAGAAGCTGGAGTTCGCTACTATGGCTAGATACTTCAAGGCATTACATATAGGGCGACCAAGACCTTGGGAGTTGAAACGGTCGAGATATGCAGGAATATTTTTGCAAAATGATGCTTCATGTGATATCCCGGAAACCCCTTAGTACACGAGTCTAGGCCATTTCTGCACGATCTACATCCTAAACAAAGATAACACGACTTACCTGAATGTCTTCAGTAGGTATGTTATATTCCCTGCCCTTTGGAAAAGCTAAGGTGAAGTCCATGTGTTTAGAAAACCCGGAAAGTTTTGTAAAACGTGCCATTTTTGTTTACCGCGCGGAACTTCCCTGCACTCAAGTTTCACTTCCGTTTAGGACGATTCCATTAGTGAGGCTTAAGAGGGGTGGCCCGCAGGAATCAAGTTAGTTTCAGTTCTGCAGATTTCAGATTTAGACTGTGACCTGTTTTTCAGATACAGATTGATACAGACTAGAAAAAGATATGCCAAAACACTAATTTCATATGTTGATACATGTACTTCAAAATATGTGAAACTTTTACAAATTTGGTCAGCTAATCTCCAAGCAGATCATACGGTGCAAGGCAGTATCCATTGGCGTAGGAATACTACATGTAGTATCCATTGACAGCCACCCAAAACAATACTTCCAAATAACCGATCTATCGAGTTGCAAGTCGCATTGAATGATGGGAGTCTTTGTGTGACGATTACGGAAGTGTAAAAACCTGCTAGTCGGGTTGCCCAGGTCACGTTTTTGGTTGCACGTACACCAAAACACAAGCACAGTTGTCTACTCTATTACAGTAAGTTAGCTTTGGACCTTTTCTTTAATTTGTCAACGATATATTCAACTTCTCTTATATGGCTATTGCTATAACTATATAACAGCCCCCAGTTTAATTTCGGACTAATTCCCATATCTCAGCAACCTTACATCTAGATGATAGGCTAATATCGTAAACTATAGTTAGAAATGATGTAAGAAGTATGATTCTGTAGAATTCTGCAGAATTCTGGGAATTGCAGCTAGAATTCCTCAGAATTCTGTGCAAATTCTACAAAAATGGGTTAATCCCCAAGGGGTCTTCGATGGCTACTATGTCTACATATTTTTTCCATCATTCGCTTCAGTAAGTTACATGTGTACGTCTGTTATTAGTTACACGTATATAATTTGTCCTTCAAGGTTAAGATTCGTCCTTCAAGGTCAAGATGTCTGCACCGACCGTGGAGCTTCCGTCAGGTCAGAAGATGCCTGTGGTCGGTCTCGGCACGTCTCAGTCAAGACCAACAGAGGTAACTTATTGAACAAGTCATACTTCTTAGCTATTGTTTTACCTCCCAGCATCTCATTTCATTTATACATAATTCATGAGGAAATGCTAGAATATCCTTCTTTCTTAATATCAGTCAGTGTTATCGGGTAGAAAATATGAATAACTGATGTAATTCATACAAATAATGATCTTATTTGCATAATCAATGACATTTACAGTCATAAAGGTTAACATCATTTTTCAAAGGTGTGAGGTCGTAGGACTCTTGATTTTCAACTTTTTTTGTGTGTTTTGTTGTCGTTTATCCTATACATATCGTACTTTTATGTTGGAATTGTGACATTAGCATTGCGTGCTATATAGGTAGCCGAAGCCGTGAAAGCTGCCATCGACGCCGGCTACAGGCACATCGACTGCGCCTTCAAGTACGGGAACGAGCCGGAGATAGGCGCTGGGCTGAAGGTCAAGTTCGAGGAAGGGGTGGTCAAGAGAGAAGACATGTTCATCACTAGGTAAGGAACTATCAAAACTACATTGCTATTAAAATCACAAATCCTACATCGATGTCATATTCTGTACAGAATGTCTAACCTAGACTGATCTGAATTTGTAAGAGTAATGCAATAATTATTTTAGTGTATATGGACCTCATGTTTACATGTAAGTCGTATTTTATATTACTATAGAAGACATTGTATTGTTTTGGCAATACTAACTGGTATCTGTCTGACTTGTCTTACAAAAGGCAAAAACATAGACGTTGCACGCATTAGATACCACCAAAATACTATACATGTAATAATATACAAGAACTGAGTCAAGGGAAGGTTGAAACAAAAACATATTAAACAGCATCTACAATATTTCTAAAAATTGCGTAAACGAGCCACTTGAAAAACGCCACAGAATACCATTTGCCGTCGAAAGGCCTGCACACAAGGCTACAACCAACTAAACCCCAGTGTTTTCATCCCTCAGTAAACTGTGGAACACCTTCCACCACCCAGATGACGTCAGAGGCGCTGTAGAGAGGAGCCTAAGGAGCCTGGGGCTAGACTACCTGGATCTCTACCTCATCCACTGGCCAATGGCGTTCAAGAGAGGAGACGCAGTATTCCCGGAAGATGCCGAGGGGAAAATGATGTGGGACGACACCCCCTTTACAGACACATGGAAGGTTTGTTTATTTATTTATTTGTTTATTTGTTTGTTTGTTTGTTTGTTTGTTTGTTTGTTCGTATAACTGTTTAACCGCCCCAAGGCTCATCAGTTTTGTACGTACGGTCATCACATTCGTCATAGGTTGTTGTATGATATTTTGATGCCGTAGCGTTTTCAAGCTTGATCGGTTTGATCCACTCACACTGGGATGGACCCCTGGGGACTTTACCGTTATCCTGAATCTTTGTCGTTTTCAGGCCCTTGAAGCTTGTGTAGAAGCTGGACTGCTAAAGAACATCGGGCTGTCCAACTTCAACAGTAAACAGATCCAGGCTGTCATCGATGTCGCCAAGGTCAAACCTGCTGTCATACAGGTGGGTTATAGCTTCTTTATTAACTCGACGAAGGTACAGGGAATTTCGTATTGTCTACTAGAACTAAGATCGAATACAGCTAAATACATGTAATGTTATGGATAAAGTCATCCTTTGCTACTAGTATGTTATATATATATGCTAGTTGCGGCCATGCACAAAACGCACAAATTTATGTTCCGTTCTGTTTTCATGCACATTTTTATTCATCGCACCCCGCCGGCCGCAATAGCTGTGCACCCAGGGCGGGATGCCCTAGGCAGGCCCAGTATCATATAGAATAGAATAGAATAGAATAGAATAGAATAGAATAGAATAGAATAGAATAGAATAGAATAGAATAGAATAGAATAGAATAGAATAGAATAGAATAGAATAGGGTATATAGATCCGTCTGGCAGAAAAAGCCATTCTAGAAGTACAGATCCCGAAATCTCTGTCAACAGAAACTCAGGTCGGAGAGTACAGATCTGTTAACAGTCTGCATTTGGTGTTCTATATCATACCCGTACAGGATAAAAAGATATTTATGTTCAAGCACAGACTATTTAGATGTCATCAGTAGCTACCAGTGATGTTATTGAATCTTTTAGGATATGTTAAGCAATAGACCTCATCCTATCTGCCGGTAGAATCGGCAGCTTACTCGTAACTGTTACTTTGTGTAGGTGGAATTCCACCCTTACTTGAGGCTGTTATTTTGTGTAGGTGGAGTGCCATCCTTACCTGAACCAGAAACAGCTGCTACAGTTTTCCCAAGAGAAGGGTTTGGTGTTTACGGCCTACAGTCCGCTGTGCCACCCTAACAGACCGTCCACCAAGCCCAGAGACCCCTCCATCATGGAGGACCCCAAACTTAAGCCGATCGCAGACAAATATGGCAAGTCTGTGGCTCAGGTAGGATGAAATCCTCCCCACACCTTTCTCTGTTTCTGTAGCCATTGGGCCACACAGTTTTGCAAGCACTTATAAGACTACAGCAGGGGCTAGTCTACTGCTAGTGATGTGTGTTAAACTGCAGACAAATACAGCAAGTCTGTGGCTCAGGTGAGATGAAATCCTCCCCACACCTTTCTCTGTTTCTGTAGCCCGTAGGCCACATAGTTTTGCAAGCATCGGTGATATTACAGCAGGGGGGTTATATCCCCCCTCGTCCCGGTTCATCACTGGGGTCGACTTTCTTAGGGGAATACAAACTTAGCCACGTTTGGGATTGTGGTAGCAGAACACAGTTTTCGCCCTATGGGGATTTCTATAGTTAAGGACCCCAAGATGACTCACTTCGACGCGGTAAAAATTATAGCAGGGTGCACTTCACAAATACGAAAATCGAATATGTTTGAGAAGAAGGTACAAACTACAAAATATCTAGAAACCAAAAAATCCTGTCGGCGTATCTGCTCGTAACGTACACTTTGAAATCGCCTCCTACGGACGTGACCTGAACTGCAGCCGACTCACCCGGAAAGCCAGTTGCACAATACGGCGCATTTATACACGAACTGCAAAACCTTTACAAATCAAATCATACAGTCTCAAACCCGATACATTTCTACACCACACAGCACAATTTACATCTGGCTGACGCTCTTATCAGGCTTTCTACCCAGCCTTCAAGAATATTCGCTGCACTACTTTCTATACCCGCGTCTGTGACCTGCTACCTTGTGTTCTCGCCACAAAAGCGCCACCTACATCCTTTAATGTAACTACCAACACAGATGAACTTTCACGATAACAGAAATGTTCGTTTTTGTTAAATTCCAACATTAATCACAATACATGGTGATTGCACACTCAAGTTTTTTCACTTATTTTTATGCCGCCGCCAACGCAGAAGACAAACGCATGAACGGACAATGCATTCTAGAATACACTTGTGGTGTAGACAGGGACTCATCGTCAGTGATGTACCTGGATTCATCGGGTGTTCCGGATCGACAATAAACATACTCATTTTCACCTGAGTAAAGTGAGGAAAGTCGTGTAAATGTTGGTTTTCCCGGGTCCGAGTCCTGACATGCCACCGATCTTGTGCCCTTGGGAAAGGCACTTTACACGATTTTCCTCACTTCGCTCAGGTGAAAATGAGTAATGTATTGTCCCGTGTTGGTGGCGGCATTAATATAAGTTGAAAAACTTGAGTGTGCCGTTACCACGTCTTGTGATTAGATGTTGGAATATAAAAAAAATACAACTCCCGCTAAGGAGAACCCAGTAACATTTCAGATCCCAGCAATTCTGTTTTTGATCAAAACATTTGTGGATGTGCCTGCATTTTAGACGTATTCCTGTCGCAAGCGGCCCCGCGACGTGCACGCTAAGATTTCTTGTACGCAGTTGACATGGCCTGACACTGGATTCGGTGTCTCATAAAATAATTTTTATCAGTATAAATAATTCTGATACTCAACATTAGCGCAGAAATATTCCATTTCTTGAAGAACTGGACAGGTCTACTTTTATTTGTGTCTATTTCTGCTGAGACAATACGGATAGTTATACTTGGCTCTATGGGTAGTAGTAAGGTAACGTTACATGGAAACCTGGAAGACGGGAGTGTAGCGATACGGTAAACAGTTCGCGAGGGACATGACTTCACGAAGCAAGGCTCTTCGCGAAAACCGCGAAGTTAAATCCCTGACGAACAAAAATGCATTTACAGTACGTTGTTGCAGGTCGTACTGAGGTGGGGAGTCCAGCGCGGTGCTGTGGTCATCCCGAAAAGCGTCACGCCGGCGAGGATCCAACAGAACATCCGGCTGTTCGACTTCGCGCTGACGTCAGAAGAAATGGCGACCCTGGATGGACTCGACGTCCCGTTCCGGATTGTTCACCTGGACTGGGTCCATCACGTGCCGGAGTGGCCGTTCCACGAGCCTTTCTGACGCCCCTGTTCCCGACCACATGCCCGTAGCCGGGGGAATAATATACGCGCTCTGGTTGAGTTCATGGCATTTACATGAAACAAGGTGCTAATAGCCGCTAGTCGGTGACGCGTCAGCAGCCCTATGATTGGTCCCCGCTAGAAATCTACTGGATGTCATATAGTGTACACGGGGGGAGGGGGGGTGTTGTTCGGATCCACAATGCTCAAAGTTTTTGGTCCACTTTTTATCTAAAGGTCCAAGATTTCTCTTTCGATGGACTGATTCGTATCATCAGGGGGCCTGGAATCGTATAAAAACTGCCTAATTTGTCAATGAATAAAAAGTTTTCTCTGATTTTTTTTCTCTGAAATCCTCTCAAAAACGCAGGAAATAACCCCCCTTTCAAAATCCTGGCTACGGGCATGGAGCACGTCGGCAGAACGTACTGGGCCGGCACGAGACCCTGATTTGTCACGGTTTTCGTTGGATGTTTAGTCAACGTTGCATCAAAATTTTGCCAGCTGCATATGGCATCTTTTCCGATATGATATACATTTGGATACTACAGAGGGAATGTTAATAACCTTATATACGCAAATACGACCTTATATGAGACATTCTGCCGAAGTGCTATGTACAATACTCGTACAACCAGTTTCTACTGTCCATCTGACTGTACGGATTGGAAATGTAGGGCATGCTTTGTCTGGCCAAACAAACATCATACAACGTAAAGCCGGTCATCTTTTCATATCGCTGGTGTGTCCAAGATTCAGTTCTATACTCGGATTAGAACGGTTATTACATTGGTTATTACATAGACAAATTTAAACGTAGGTGCCGCAGTACAAAAATCAAGAATAGAATATTCAACAAAACACTTGCTACAAAATCTAGTCTTTTATAAAAGTACAACTTTTTCTATTTGTATAGAAGACTTTAGGCTGGCACCTCGGGCGATAAAGATTACACTGTGTTGGCTTTCCGCTTAATTTCTCATAAGGTCATCAGTTGTAAGCCCTTCTGTAGGACGTCCTTAGTTGAACTAGAAACATCTTAAAATGTTGAAATCCAATGTCCGTTGTACTTTGATGGAAAGTGTTTATAAGTGCCATCATCTGCAAGTGCCCGTTACCAGTTCAACGACCCCGTCCCTGTACAGCTCTACAAGCTTGAAGAATTCCCTGTCTATCCGGTGGTTCCAGTTGGTCAGGCCGCCGTCCCTGTGCAGGTAGTTCAGCGTGTAGTGGTAGTCCACTTGCGCCCCCTGGCGATTCGTTAGGAAAGGCCAGAACCCGAAGATCCGGACGTGCTTGCAGAAGGCCAGCGCTGCCGAAACGAGGTAGAAACCTGCAGATAGAAAGAATTTTTTTAAAATACTTTATTAACAAAAATACAGAAAACATTACATACAGTGTGACACATACAAAGGTTTACAATATAAAAATACAAATACTATACATACATGACCTACGTTAGCATATTAAAAAAGAGACGCCCACAGATAGAAAGGAAATGCGGAGTTCTGTATCTGTATCTGTATAGCCGGTATAACCGCCTTTCGGCGTAACACACCAGCTTCGCAGGCACGCGGCGCGGCGGCAGCTGTCTATATTACACCGATCGACTTGTTACACCTAACCCTTGAACTTCTAGCTCTAGACATTGTTTAAAGCTATCTATTGACAATGCCCCTACTGTACTTGGTGACAGTGAGTTCCACTCTGCGATAGTTCTAGGAAAGAATGAATTCTTGAACACCTCAATCCTTGGTTGATAACTCTGGTACTTGAATGCGTGGCTATTTGCTATAATCTCCAAGCAGATCCCTTTCGGTGGCAAGACACCATCCATTAGCCAGAGAAGGTCGCCGGCCACCGACGGAGGGTAGCGACAAAAAACGGCCATATATAAAAAGCTAACGATCATTCCCCCACAACCCACAAATTTCTCACCAATATAAACACACTTTCATACTGAGTCGTTTACTTTTTGGTACTCGTTTAGTGTAGTTACTAAATACTGTGTTATGCGACCTTGTGTAAGACACGTACCAGAAGTAGGGGTGGGTTCATTTAGCCCCTCTTTTGCCCAGAAGTCAGAGACCAGCCTCCTGTGGTCGGGATGGTTCATCAACACCTGGTTCTTTATCCCGTTCCTCTTCAGCGTTTCTTGGAAATCTAAGAAGAAGTCCCCGTTTCCTCTGACGTTGAAGGGAAAAGTGAGGATGTGTGTGGACTGGAGGTTACAGTTCCGGATGAAGTTCCGGAAGGCTTGAGTCCAGTCCATGTTGTGGTGCAGCTGGTGGAATCTGAGATGTGAAAATGATTCTCGTCATCAAAAAAAAAAAAAAAAAAAAAGAAAGAAAGAAAAGAAATGCTGGCCAAGATGTGGATATTTGGCTGCACGGTGCTTGGGTGGCATGAGTGTGATGACGAATGTGTGACTCAAATAATTGGTCACCTTGGTAACTTGAATCGGCTAGTAATAAAACTGGACTTAGATGGACAATTGTAACGTATTACGAGCTCTTTCTAGTGGAGAAGAGTTTTTTCTAATATGTAATTACGTGCAGTAAAAAACATTTGCGTCGCCTCTTGTTTATTCCGCCAGTCTTTTCCTTCTGACATGGTATGTAATGGCCTTCAGAGTGAAAAATGTTCGATCGGATATATGGCATCGACCACTCAGTAGTGAAGACACAATCTCCAAGCAGATCCTAGGGTGGCAAAAGACCGTATCGAATTGGCCATTCTGGTGAATAGATACTGCCTGGCCAGTTTGATACTGTCTTCTGCTTGAAGATTACCAAACACTTACCTGTGTGGGGTCGTGTGGCGTAACGGCAGAGTGCGCGACTCGGAACCTAGAGGTCCCGGGTTCGAGTCCTGACATGCCACCGATCTTGTGTCCTTGGGAAAGGCACTTTACACGACTTTCCTCACTTCGCTCAGGTGAAAATGAGTATTGTCTTGTAATGTATTTGTCCCGTGTGTTGGTGGCGGCACTAATATAAGTTCATAAAAACTTGAGTGTGTCGTCACCACGTCTGGTGATTACATGTTGCAATAAAAAAAAAACACTTACCTGCTGACGATGGTGTGTATGTTGGTGGTGACCATACTTGTCCGAGTTCCGATGTCTTCTCTCCAATGGGAGATCACTGGAGGCATGTTAAACCTGTCCAATCAACAGAAACTCAGATATGACTTGTTTTCTCTTATTATGTTTGATTTACCTTATTTATTTCGTGAGATCTTGGTTCATTATGTACAGATTTGTTTATTTACATTTACGATCTGCTATGAGTTCACTTTGTTCACCGTTATTGTATATAACTTACCCTTATTTGTGTTCATATTTTGTTTGGATTCCGTTATCTGTACCTTTGATTCTCATGTGTATATGTATAATTTATTGAATCGGTGTCGTATAAGCCCACGCGGGCTGGGCGCGGGAAAGCGAAAATAAAGTCCCATTCATTCATTCATTCATTCATTCATTGTAGGCAGATATTTTAGAAACTAATCATGAGTACTATTTGTTTCATATTCTTGATATTGGTTATTACATTTTCGTTGATGCAAACAGCCCGGCCGGACCCCGGTTTGGAAATATGACCTCAGCATACGTAAACAACCATAGACTTTGAGACATTTAGATTCTAAAGAAACAACCTAAGGCGTATACCTAGGCTTTCAGTTTCTAACTTTAAGAAACAAACCTCAACGTTTAGACTTTTAGATTCTATCTGAACAACCCTAGATTTACAACCTTGAACAACTTCCGATCTGAAGGCGCAGTCATTTCCCGGCCCAACCGGGGCCCGGCCGGGCAGTCGTATGGAACGAAAATTATTATACATCATACAAGACAGCATGGGGCAGAGGCATGGAGAATGAACAAGTCAACACAACACAACACAGGATACAGACGTTCATTAACAACTGCCTCAGACGCATATACAACATCAGATGGCCGGAGAAGATCCGAAATGAAGAACTGTGGAGTAGAGCAGGACAGGAACAACTTAAGGAATTTTTTTTATTCGCCCGCGCGCACTACTTTGGGGGTCTTCAGAGGATGTCATCCATAAAATTAATGTGTATGTTTGAATGAACCTAGAGTTTATGTGGAGTAAGTCTAAAATACAAACGATTCGAACAAGAGATTCTTCACCTTTATTTTCACTGGAAAATATTTTACTCTTATTCTTTACCCCAGAACCTTTAGATTGTAACTAAACAACTCCACACTTTTACACTTTTAGAATGAAACTGTTCCCACCTGATGATGAAGTCTGACTTATCAATCTCCCGGCCACACCCACTCCCTTTGAGAAGCCCGCTGTTCCCTACAAGACTGCACGTCTCGAACGTTCTGTTCGTCAGAGGAGACGTCTGAAGAAACAAGAAATCGTGAAGACATTACCTGACAACATTCAAGACAAAATACACAGTTTTCTTATTGTATCCATAATCGTGCATTATGAAAAAAACATAACGTTTACTTTCAAATGGTCTAGCCCAACGAACTACTGCTCTGTTTATTCTTACTCACGCACTCATATACTAATACATGTATATGGTGACCAGCACCTCCAACTTGCCACGTAATGTAATCCAACACCACATGGTGTCTGCTACAGCACCAGTTACCTTGGTGACAGGCGTCTGGTCAAGGTCATTGACCTTATGTGTTGGAGAAGAAGAAACGGAACGAAAACAATATTTTCCTTCTGCGAAGCGGTGTTCTGGTAAGCATAACAAGAGGCTTGGTGTTATAATTACCGCTGGTTCCGCGGCGAATATCCGCTCCGTGATGGTGAATTTTCCGTTTTGGGCCGAGAAGTTGATGTCGGTGTTTAAAGGAGCGTTTTGCCGCGTCAGGATAAACTGTTCGTTGGTACGAGTGGCGTTTTCTAACCGGGACCTGTGGGAGGAATGTTAGTAGATACTAGTATATCATATAAAAATCAAACCTCATAATAACAAGCGTAGAAGTATAATTATTGATAATAATCATAATTTTTCAGACAGTGATTATTTGTTGCCTATCATTGTATTGTACCATATTCGACTCTGTAAAAGCAATTAGCCTTTTAGACCGAGCTACTTTTTTTTTCATTCATGAAGAAATGGACCAAAGCATTCTCAAGCCAGAACAATTCTATATCTGAAGTGTGCATACCTTTAGGGACACCTTACGCTTTATCAGTTCAATAGATATGTCTTTAGTTTCACTACTTTGTAGTTAGGGTTATTCATGACTCAGAATCTGAAGGTTCTGGGTTCGAATCCCTGGCAGAAAAGAGAGAGGGTCCATCCCGGTGCAGTGAGTGGTTCAAACCTTACGGTCTAGTCTCAGGTTTAACATCTTCATAAGTCACCTGTTATGTTAACCCTTTCAGAATGTGTAGTAAATATCAGTTAACAAATTAGTAAGGTTAGTCTACCTGAGATTATGAATAGCACTGTCGTTAAAGTTCCACCTGGCTGCCTGGATGTTATTCAGTAGTTGTAGTATTGTCGCTGGAGGCTGCACGACTCGGGAGTTACTGTACAACTTCATAATGTCGCTGTTGTTCACCACCGCACCGGCGCTACCGTAAAACGTCTTAGTGTTGGAATCGTAAGTACTGTTTAGCACCGCACGACTCTGGGTAAATCTATGGGGTAAAATGAGAAAAATAATAGATATATACAGACTCTGATCTGTAGAGTTGGCGATTCTACCGGTAGAGGTCCCAATAAGAGTCTTTGTCAATAGACTCCGATCATGTAAATTAAAAAATAGTTCTGACCGTCTTTGAAGCAATTATCTTAACAATTTACAGACTTCAATCGTGATATATCTGCACAGTATATACATATGTGACCATTCG